CGTTCTCCTCCCCGCTCTGCGGGGTGCTGAGCGTGCCGCCCTGCGAGATGCAGTTTTCGCTGGCCTCGTGGTACGTCTTGGTCTCCGAAAATGCGAGAAAGCATTTTAGGTGAATTTTGGTGCCTTTCAGGCAAACTGAGAGGTTACCACACAAACAGAACAAAAAGACAGAAAGGGAATTGGTTTTAAAAATGGCGCCAAGGAAGAGGCAGCAGCAGCAAATGCAGCGGCCAAACCACCAGCTTCATTTCTTCAGCCGCACAGCATCCCTCAGCAGCACGGGAGTCGCAGGGGCCCTCTCCCTCCTACACAGGGCATGGCCGCAGGGACGTGGGGACGTGCCCTCCCCTTCTGCAAACTGTTGGGAAAACTGGACCTCAGGGTGCCCCCACCACCCTCCTGTGTTCTGCTGGTGCCAGAGTAGAGGCCCAGCATGTTCCTCCTGCCCTTTCCCCTGGCCTCACTCTTCCCCAGATGCTGCTACGCTTTCTCTGACGAGCTTTCTAGAGGCAAGGTTGGCTGTGGGCTCTGCAGGGGCATTGGAGTGTTTTGGAAAAAAGGCTGCAATGTGAATTCAATCATCTTAATTATGCAAGCATGAGAAAAATGTCTTTTTTAATAGGCCTTCATCAGAAGTGTTGTGTTTGCATAGCTTGAAGTCTTCAGAGGAAATTTCTACTTGCCTCTGATTTTCTTGTTAACAACAGCAATTTAATTTTTTTTAAGCTTTAAACCCTGAAAGCACAGGGTACTCTAGCCAAACAATAACTAATCAGAGCCATGCATTAATAACCAAACCGATGAATGTGGGTTTGGGTCTAAAGCCTTGATTTTGCTTGTCTTCCTTTTCTTTCAAGGAGAAAATTCTCCTTATCTTGTGTTTTCATCTTGTTTCTGTTTTGTATTCTGCAAATCCCTCTCCTATTGATGTTGGTGGAGTTCATACGGGATAACCATGGAGCATGGCTAGAAGACGGACATTTGTCCTCTGTACGTGTTCAATGAAGCATGATGGGACCGACCTCCATGATGTTCCCTGGGCAATATCACGGTGTATATACGAGACCAGGTCACCATTTCACACAAAACAGTAAGCCACTTTTGACTGAAGTACAGATTAATCCATTACCCATCCCTCTAACTCATAAAGGAAAATGAATATCTGGCTTAGTGTCATAGAAATATCAATGGCTTTACAAATGGGAAGCTCTAGCACATAAAGGGGGTGGGGGGTGGGCAACATGCTGCACGACTCATGAACTGCCTGAAGAGTTTCATCTGCCTGGAGGAATTGCAGCAAGCCCACAACTTTGCACCAAATCACGGCTTTGATCTCCCAACCTCTCTCCCCGTGATGGACTCCCTGTCACAGGGCGCATGGGCATCTCTTGTCAAAATGAGTGGAGCACTTGTAGCTGCTTTATAAGCAGCTCCTGTCTCAAAGAAAAAGCCATGCCTTCATCAGCAAGTCCTTTACCTGTCTGGAGTGCTTGCTTTTCCTTCAGTAGAGCAACCTCCTGAGAGATGTTGTCAATCATGGCCTTCAGGTCTTCAATCATTTTGAGGCTCACACCATCTGTTGGAGAAATCAAGGGAGGAGCATAAAGCATCCCTCGGGGAGGGAGCCAAAGCTGTTGCTGTCATCAAAGCTCCCCATTTCTCTGCCCTCAGAGAAAGACAAGCAAAAGAAATCCACAAATTCAACATCTGTGTTCCCTTACGCATCCATGAGAGTGAGTGTTTGCTCGCTAGCCTGGTTCCACCATCAACCCAGTTTTCCCAGTTTGGGGTTTGGGGCTTCACGGGTCGGGAGGTCTCCCCTTGGGCTGCCACTGCAATGCTGGGGGTCACACACATGAACATCGCAAGATGCAGGCTCCTCTCTGTAGCCCCTATGTAGGGCACTCACCTCGGGTGATACTGCACTGGGGTCAAGCTCCCAAAATGCAGGAGGACACCATCTGATGCTGCCCTGCCTGAGCAGAAGTCCTGCCACACACAAGAGTTTTGTGGGGAACTTAAAGCTGCTGATGAATAGGATTTATTTTTTTTTGATTCCTCAGAAACATGCCATCCCTGTCTCTATTCACAGCACACCCTCCTGGCTTCCCTTAAACACCCCAACACATGATTTTCTCTGTATGCATTCCTTGCTGTGCCCCTGCATTAGTCAGCTCTCGTGGGTGCATTAGCCCAGGCTGATCCTCAGCAGAAAGGGGCTAGAAGGGTTGCAATACCTCCACTAGATCTGCCCCTGCACCGCCAGCCACCCCTTCCCACCACAAGGCACCACTTCCTGCAGCCCACCAACCATGGCATCCCTCAGGCCACCACAGCCGCCTCTGCCCTGCCCCACCTCTTCCTTCAGCATAGAATCATAGAATGGTTTGGGTTGGAAGGGACCTTAAAGATCATCTGGTTCCAACCCCACTGCCATGAGCAGGGACATCTTCCACTAGACCAGGTTGCTTAGAGCTCCATCCAACCTGGCATCCCCAGCGCAGGTACCCAAAAACTGGCCAGAGCTGCTCTCCTGCCGTGAGAAGATGCCTCCTTAACCAGGGAGTTGACTGCAGCCAGCTACTAAAGCTCATGTCTTGCTAGGTGTGTTGCCTCTGCGATGGCTCCAACCAGCTATTAATCGGTACTTGGATTTCTTCCGTCTAGGAGCGAAGGGACTATTACGCCTTGGAGGTGGTGGGAGATCAGACATGGAGGCATTTGTATTTATTATGCTATCTTGCTGCTCCTATTACTTTACCTCGCCTGGCCTAAGCATCTGGTAGTCCTCATGGGGTGAAAGGAAAGGGGACAATTTGCCCGTGAACGCAGTAGGACAGCTTCCTCGAGGGTCGAGGAGATGGTGAGCCAAGGAGATGATGAGCCGAGGCACCAAGCCAGCAAAGCAGGGAAGCAGCTTGGATGCAGAACAAAACCACCAGCCCAAAGATCACATGGTGCCAAGAATATGAATAGCCAGACGCTTCAGGAGGAGGGCATTAAGCTGCTTTACTCATTGCTCAATTAACTTTAATGGCTTCATGTAACACTGAGGCAGTAGTTATTATTTTGCTGCCTTTGATGAAAACACTTTGTGGGAAACAGCTAATTAATGCCTTTATTTTTTCCATGAAAGCCTGTCTTGCAGCAGAACAAATGCCACTTAAGTATCAGTAACATCCAAGGGCCATGGCAGGACACTGCCAATGAGGCTTGCTGGGGTAGATCCTTATGTTGTTCCAGCCAAGTTTGCTGGTGGGTTCCCATCCAGAGGGTCCCCGCCACGCAAGGTGACACGTCTCCTTGATACATACTTAAGCGCCCTGTCCCTTTTCACCACCTCATTTCCAAATCCTGGGCCACAAGACGTTCCTACAGCAGCGCGTTCGCTGGGACAGCACAAGGAGAACCGGCAGCGGGTTGTTAATTTGCACGTCAGCTGCAAAGTGAGTACCACAGCTGCGTCAACAGACATCAAGTTTTCTATTTTATTGCCACAGGTTTTTGTCTCTGTGCTGTCGTCTCCTCAAGGCTCGCCTCCTGCAGCCCGTGATCGAGGCTATTACAGCTTGGGTTTGCTGCTGCTGAAGGCATCGTGGCGGCTGCCAGTGCTGCCCATGGGAGCTGGAGTGGCTCCTTGTGCGGCTAACCGTGAGCAGCAGGATTAGGCGCAGGCAGAGGCAAGATGAAAAGTGGACTCACAGAAGGACGTGGGTCGGAATAGCCTGTTGATTTGAAAGCCTGGCCAGTGGCGTATTTGACACTGCAAATGGGAACTCTTCCCAGTTTTCCTTGTTCTGATTATATGCTGAATAACAAACAAATCCTTCTCTACTTAATTTTGATTCTTTAACTATCCCTATATGAAATTTGGATCTATATCTGGGTTGCTTAGATTTGCCTGGGCAGGCATCATCCGGTTTGTTCCCATCCGAACAGGTTTCTGTCCCCCAGTGGGGCGGGTGTTGCTCTGGTTCACAACGCCTGTCATCCAACCTCCCCGGCCGTCGGCATTTCTTCTGACACCAGGCATTCCCGCTGGAAAAGTCAGGTCCCATATTGCAGTCTGTTGCCTGGATCAGAGGAGGGGATTTGTTGCAGTTTAACCTGGCAGACGCCAGCTAAACACCAGACAGCCACTCGCTCACCCCTTCCCTTCCCCCCCAGTGGGATGGGGAGGAGAAATGGACAATGGGGGGAACTCACGGGTTGAGATAAAAACCGTTTAGTAAGGCAACAAAGGAAATAATAATGCTAATAATAGTAATGATAATAATAATTATAATAATGAATGTGCCAAACTATATGTAACACAATTTTTTCTCACCACCTGATGACTTATTCACAGACCGAAAAAAAATTTGAATTCCCAGCCAAGAGAGGATTCAAACTCTGGAAAACTGAGAAGAGTCGAAAACAAAAAGCCTCCTCTCCCCAGCTGACCCCTACTGGTAAGCTGAGCATGACTTTTATGGTATGGAATATTTGCGTTGGCCAGCTTGGCTATCTGTCTGGCCATGCTCTGCTCCCTCCCACCTCCTGCCAACTTGCTCATTAGATGAATATGAGAAACTGGAAAAAGTCCTCGATTTCTAGCAACAACTGAAAACACCAGTGTTATCAACAGACTTCTTGTACTAAAACCAAAACACAGCAGTTACTGGGAGGAAAATTAACTCTGTCCCAGCTGAAACCAGGACAGGACTGAACATATCATCACTGGTTTTATATCAGTGTAAATGTTCACGGGCATTTTCTGTGAAGAGCACCCAGGCTACAAGGCGACACAGGAGTTCTGGGCAGCATCAGGAGCGGCGCTCACATCAGCCCCTACCCGCTGTGATATCAGCATCTGGACTCTGATGGCCGGCTCCATTACCTTCAAAATACATCTAAGAGCTACGAAAAGATGCTCCCTCCCATGCACCCAGAACCCCGCCATGGCTGTGACCACGGGGATCCCCCCCCGCCCACGGCCAGCAGGTCCCCAGCCTGCATCCCCGAGCCGGGGGTGCCATCGCCCACCTCCCCTGGGAACCTTCTGGGAGAGACCCCTGGGGCCACCTGAGAAGGGCAAATCCCGCCTGCCCCCCCAAGACGTTGGGGTTCAGGGAGAGTTTGCTGAGCCCACAGCAGGCAAAGTGAATCTGCTGTCTCAGCGTCTTCTACACGGTATTGGTTTGGCTTTGTCATGTTGAAACAGCACCATTTTTGTTCTGAAGCAGATCCAAATGCAAGAAATAATTACAAAAAAGAAGAAGAAAAAAACAAAATAAAAAAAAAAATAACACAAAAGTAAAAAAAGAGATAAGAAGCTTGGCTCGAATCATCATTTTCTTTTCCAACATTCATGGTTTGGCTGTGCAGATTGAAAAATAAATCAATCCAGCCATACACCCCAAGCCTCAAGTGGCTTCCACCTG